CAAGTCAGGGCCTTATAATCTCACTCAGCTTTCTCACAGCTGTTGCTGTCTTGAGTTACACCTCCAGGTCTGCACTCTTTGTAAAAACAGTTTGTAAGGTTCAAATGTTAGTAGTCACTACTTAGACCCCAAGTCTCTAACTCAGCTCAGCTGTGACCAGGTGGCTAGACAGAGGCACTGAGACCATGCATGACTAACATACATTTTTACTTCAATTACACTTTTCTTAGTAAAAAAGGAAAAAAGCCAAAGTAAGGACACTATAAAAAGGAAAGCAAATGCTGTCAGTTACTATTCATTTATTATTCATCTAACCCATTGTTTATTGTTCTAAAGCCTCCAAAATTTGAGCAGGATGCTGGTGGCTCACACCTGTAATGCAAGCTATTTGGGAGACTGAAATCTGGAGGGTCATGGCTAATCCAGACAGAAAAGATCATTGGATCTCCCAAATAATCAGTAAAAAGCATGGCTGGAGGTGTGGTTCAAATGGAACAGTGCCTGCCAGTCCATCAAGTGTGAGGCCCTAACATTGTACCTGAGAGCCAGCCAGATGGCTAAAATTCACTTGATAGGCTGAATAACTTGCTCCTAGCCTAGTGGCATTTAGGAATCTAATCTGTCCTGGATTCTAAGCTATTAGTAGCCCTGTGAGACGAGCATTAGTATTTCCACTCAAGTGCTGCCTTGGAGTTTCAGAGCTTTGCTAGAAAAGCTGTGACAAACACACTAGGTCCTCAGATATCAACACACCACCAGTGGGCTCTGTATTTTCACTTATATAACTCATTGATGAAAGTCTTATAAATTTATACTGGGACTGTAATTTATGTCATATACTTACTGTATTCCTTATGTTCTAAATCTTCCTGCAATGTTCTGAAGGACCATTCAGAATGACCAGTATTTTTTAAAATAACACAATAGATAAGGCAGTCTCAAGGACCACCCACTGTTCACCTGCATCCTTGCTCTGCTTACTTCTCTCCTTCAATGTACCTAAGAGGTGATGCTAGTCAGTCAAGCTCTGCAATCAGGCTCATCTAGGCTAAAACCTCACTTCTGCTACTTATCAATATTATGACAGAAGGCAAGCAACTTAGCATTTCTCAGGCCATCACACACTAAATGCTTTTAGTAGTATTTTTCATTGTGATAAGTTGATCTTTTCAAAATACAGTGAACTTCATACTTTCTGATCTGAAACTTTCCAAAAAATCATTCTCAGACAAAAACCTTTGAAAAGATTCCTGTCCAGACTTTGGCCTTTGATCTCCCTTCAAGACCAAGAGAAAGGGTGTAGAAGGGGGAAATCAGACAATTAGCCAAAATTTGCTGACCATCTTCCCTAAGTAAAAAAGCAGTAAAAACCTGTTTATGAAATGGTTTTAAGGGGCTGGGAAGATGGCTCAGTGGTAAAGCGCTTGCCTTCCATGCATGAGGCCCTGGGTTCGATTCCCCAGCACCACATAAGAAAAAAAGCCAGAAGTGGCGCTATTGCTCAAATGGTAGAGCGCTAGCCTTGAGCTGAAGAGCTGAGGGACAGTGCCCAGGCCCAGAGTTCAGGCCCCACGACCGGACCCAAAAAAAAAAAAAGAAATGGTTTTAAGCCTTTCTTTACCATCAAAAAATATAAAGTGCTTATCACAATATAAGCCATACGACATGCATTTAATTTTTATTTTATTTTTTGTTAGTCATGGTGCTTGAACTCAGGGTCTGAGGGCTGTTCCTTAGCTTTTTCACTCAAGGATAGTATTCTACCACTTTAAGCCATAGCACCACATCGAGTTTTCTGATACTTAATGGGAAATAAGAGTCTCACAGACTTTCCTGAAGTTTGAACCGTGATGCTCACATCTCAGCCTCCCGAGTAACAAGGATTATAGGCATGAGCCATCAGTGCCTAGTTCATTCAATAAACTTATAATTCTGATAGTATTCCTACTTCCTTCTCCTCACCTTGAAATTTCCTCCATTTTCCTATAATTGGTCCTGAATAAATAAGCTTAAGTAGTAACTGAAGATTAAGAGGCACACAAACAATTCAACAGAAGAAACCACTAATTTACCTTAATAAGGGAAACTTGAAGATTGACTGTCTTTCCTTTCTTGAGAAGACTCTGCAATTTTCTGCTATGTAGAATGTTATCCACATAGACCCAAAGCCTTTCAACAATATCTTCCTTCAGCTCAAGTTTTTTCTTATAAAATGCAACCAACGACTGTCTTGCCCAATCAAGCAAAACCTGCATTTGGAGCAAACATATTGTAAAAACATATGAATTTCTTTTATAGGAAAGATGTTGGGGCTGGGAAGGTGGCTCAGTAGTAGAGCACTTGCCTTGCATGCATGAGGCCCTGGGTTCGATTCCTCAGCACCACATAAGCAGGGGAAAAAAAAGCTGGAAGTGGCGCTGTGGCTCAAGTGGTAGAGCGCTAGCCTTGAGCTGAAGAGCTGAGGGACGGTGCTCAGGCCCAGAGTTCAGGCCCACGACCGACCCCTCCCCCCCCCCCCCCAGAAAAGGAAAGATGTTGGACAGTATGGGGTCATTCAGCCATGACAAAAACCAACTACAAGGGAAACATTTCGAATTTAAAAGTTCACCCATGTGATCTATGGAAGGGTGAACGTTGAAAAGAAAGATAGTGACCAAGATGCATTCTACTCATAAATTGACACATTGGATTGAAATTTAAATATTTAAAATGAAACAGAAATTCACCTGGACAATATTACAAGAATGTTTCAGAATTTTAAAATATTTCTTTGTAAAGAACAAAAAGGAGAAAACACTAGCTTTATTTTCCTAGTCTCAGGTGAAGCTCTAGATGTCTTGTCCCCTCTTTTCTTTTTTTTTTTTCTTTGGGTCCGGTCGTGGGGGCTGAACTCTGGGCCTGGGCGCTGTCCCTCAGCTCTTCAGCTCAAGGCTAGCACTGTACCTCTTGAGCCACAGTGCCACTTCCGGCTTTTTTCTTTTTGCTTATGTGGTGCTGAGGAATCGAACCCAGGGCCTCAGGCATGCAAGACAAGCGCTCTACCACTGAGCCACCTTCCCAGCCCCATTGTCCCCTCTTTTCTTAGAATGAGAGACACAAGAAATGTTCAGAATGATTACAGAATGGATCTTCTACAACAAAGCAAAAAGGCAGTAAGAGTGCTAGAATCTATATGCTGGCTTCCCAGGTCAAAGGTAGTTTAACCTCTAAACTCCCTCATTTAGGAGAAAGGAGTTAAGGCAAACTGATACACAAGTACTGCGTGAGAAAGAGTTGCACACATATATTGTGACATGTTTCTCAAGCACCACACACTTAGGAGAGGTGATGAGACCTCAGTCATCCTCATAGCTTGCTCATGTGTATGTCTGTGGGCTGAGGATGGAAACCAGGGGCTCAAACATGCTAGGCAAGTACTCTACAGCTGATCTGTATTTTCAACCCATGGCCTCAGCTTGGTACAAGAATTATCAATAATAGTATGGGGAGTAACTAATGCTAACAGGAGCAATTCTCAGGATAGGAACAGCAACAATATGGTTCAAACTGCCAGCCGAGGTCACCATCTCACCCATTTCATGCCATTCCAGGCATGTGCACTACATGTGGGCACTAGTAGATATAAAAACTACATACCATGCTTTATAATCCATCTTTAACATATCTTATGCTTCCTTTCTTAACATCAACCTTGAGATGTATATCAACCCCATCTCATGAACCTGTCATCCTAGTATTTCCTGAATTAACTTCTTAGCAAAATAAGCTTGAGAAATATTAATACAAGAGTAACTTCCTTCCTAAAGTCCACTTAAATTTCCAACATGGCTTAATATGAATACTGATACATCTGTACTTCCCAACCTTCAATCTATTACTTTTAACTTCCAATGAAATTTCCTTTCCAACTTTTCTTTCTAATCTTTTAACAAATGTCAATATATGATTTGTACAGATTATTTTAGATCATAAAAATGCAAGTTTCATACTAAACTTACTTGTTCTTTATTTGGTAGAAAGCACTGATGGGACATCCAAGCAAAATGAGCCAACTTTAGTTTATCTTCCCAAGAGGTTGTCTTGCTCTTAAGTTTAAGGGAAATGCCAGAATAAACAGCAGCCATTGCTACACTGTCTCTACAAGTAAAAAGCAATGAGAAACAATATTTTAAAATCTGGTTGAGGGGCTGGGAAGTTGGCTCAGTGGTAGAGCGCTTGCCTTGCATGCCTGAGGCCCTGGGTTCGATTCCTCAGCACCACGTAAGCAAAAAGAAAAAAGCTGGAAGTGGCGCTGTGGCTTAAGTGGTAGGGCACTAGCCTTGAGCTGAAGAGCTGAGGGACAGTGCTCAGGCCCAGAATTCAGGCCCCACAACCGGACCAAAAAAAATAATAATAATAAAAAATAAAATCTGGTTGAATAGGAACAAGAAAATGAACAGTATGTACGTTGTTTATAATTAAATTTTTAATGAATTAAAACACATCAGTAAACTGTTGGTGATAATGTGTAAGATGCTTGCTCCATGGATTTTCTGGGAAGGAATTTTGACAAAATCAGACAGAAGGTAGATAGTTATTACTGTTATGACCGAACAAAGGAATTCAGGCAAAATAAAAATGTGCAGATTACTTATGCAAAGGCGGCTATCATACATGATTTGGGATGAAAGTAAGTTTCTGCATAGTTTCTACAATATACTTATGTATTAGAACCAATATCCCTAAGAAATAAGCAACGCAGTTACTGGAGAAAGTAATGCTTCTCCAAGGGAAAGAAGGCGTTACTCAATCCCAGTTGCAATACTGTTATTTCCCCAGCAGTAACTTCCCACTGTGACTTTATCTCATTCACTCGTGTACATGTTTACCAGGCAAATAGCTGCTTCCAAAAAGGCTGCCGAAAACATTCACTGTGCAAAGGAATAGGAAGACACACCTCAGTAACACAGGAGCAAAGCTCTGAGTAAAGCCGTAATAAAGAGGTTCAGTTTACAGAGCACTCAATACCGGAACGGAGTTAAAGCAACAGGATGCGGTAACTGGACAAGCGTGGCAGCCCCGCTATTCCTCCGACGCACCCCGAGGCGGGCAGAACCCGCCGTCTCAGGGCTCGCCGCCGGCGTCTTCTCAGAACCCGTCGGGGCTCGGTTCCTCGGGGAGCGCTGGGTTCGCACACCCGGAAACAGCCGCCCGGGGGCCGGCTGGCGCGCTGGGCCCCCGCAGACGGCGCCACCCCAACCCGGTCGGGCCCAAGGAGGCGCAGCCGGGGGTCGGGGGCCAGGGTCCGGGCGCGGGGAGCAGAGGGCCAAGCCGAAGGCCGAGGGCCGGGGCCCGGGGGCGGGGAGAGGAGCAGGGGGGCCGAGGGCCGGGACCCGGGGGCGGAGAGCGGAGGGCGGAGAGCCAAGGGCCGAGACTCGGGAGCGGGGAGCAGAGCCCAGGGCCAAGCTGAGCGAGGCGCCGGGAGGACAGCCCCGCAACTCGCCGGCGCCGGGACAGCGCTCACCTGGCTCCGCGGTCCGCGCCGCACGTGGAGGCGGCGCTTCCGGCAGGCGCCGGCGCCGACGCCGACGCCGCGGCGCGGGGCGGGGCGGGGCGGGGCGGGAGGCGCAGGCAGCGCCAGCTGAGCGCCGAGTGCACCCCGGCCGCGGTGTTGCGCGTCGGCTGCCCAGCCCGGCGCGCCCGCTCCCTCAGGCCGTCATGGGGCGGCCGCCCAGAGCCGAGGGGTCCCAGGCACGGGGCCTCGGCTAGTCAGCCGCGAAACGAAGCCCGGCGGCAGCGACGGAGGCGGGAGCTGCGGGTACCGGGGCGGTGGCGAGGCCGCGGGAGCCGCCTGGGATGTTCAGTGAGCGCGGGCGGTCGGGCGGGCGGGGAGGGGAAGGGGGGGAAGAAAATGCGTGGGGGGGGGAAGCCGCAGGGGGGAGGCGGAGGGAGGGCGGGCCGCAGGGGCGGGGCCTCGGCGGCCGGCGACCCCGAGCGCCGCCCCTGCCGCTCCTCCCGCTCCTCCGCGCCCTCCCGCGCGGGCACCTGCGCGGGCCCGGCCTTCCTCCCCGCGGGTCAGGGCGCCCCGCACGTGGCGGCGCCGGCGCCACCTCGCGCGGAAGCAGGGCGCGCTCTCGCCGGCGCCCGGCTCGGCGGAAGTGGGCTGCGGGCCCCGCGCGGCGCGGCCGGCGGTGAGGCGCGGCCCCGCGGACCTCCCGGCGGTTGTGGTTCCGGCGTCGAGAGGTGAGTCCGCCGGCCGGCGGCCGCGTCCGCACCGCCGTGACCCACCTGCAGGGGGAGCGCCGCGGGGCCGGCCGGGCAGGGCCGGGCGGGGGAGCGCTGCCAGGCTAAGCGGGCAGGGCCAGGCCGGGTCAGGCAGGGAAGGGGCGGGCCGGGCAGGGCAGAGCCGAGCTGGGAAGAGCCCGGCAGGGCGCGTCTCCGTCCCGGGGCGCACGTGCGCGGCCCCACCTAGCCGGCCCTCCGGGTGGAGTCGCTGCGCTGAGCGTAGGTGAGTGGCTTGGCCTGAGAAACCGCCCGGCTGCGCTCAGGTGGAGCCCGGCCACCGCCCGGGCCGCAGGGAGGAGGTCCGGCCACCGCCCCGGCCGTGGGGAGGAGGTCCGGCCATCGCCCGTTAGGACGCCCAGCCCTAGCCAGCGGCCAGCGGGACCTTTGGGTCTCAGTTTGTGCCCTTCCAGAGGAGCCGGAAAAGATCTGTGTATACAGATGCCTTACGTTGGAAGCAGCATGACACTAGTGGCTGCTGTAATTGCTTTCCCCGAAAGGTTCATTGTAAGCATAAGTTTGTGTGCTAAATATAATGTGTGCTATTTTTTTTTTTTCTTGCCAGTCCTGGGCCTTGAACTCAGGGCCTGGGCGCTGTCCCTGAGCTGCTTTGCTCAAGGCTAGAGCTCTACCACTTGAACCACAGCGACACTTCCAGCCTTTTCTGAGTATGTGGTACTGAGGAATCGAACCTAGGGCTTCAAGCGCGCTAGGCAAGCACTCTAGGACTAAGCTATCTTCCCAGCCCTAACTTTAATCTTTTTTTCCCTCTCTGTGTCAAAACTTGGGCTTGAACTCAGGGCCTAGGCTGCTCTCACTTGGCTTTTTCCGCTCAAGGTTGGTACTCTTAACGATTGTTCCACACTTGCCACTTGTATTTTCTGGTTAATTGTGTTCAATTAACCAGACTTCTGCCTAGTTTGATTTTGAACTGTGATTCTAAAGTCTCAACTTTCTGAATAGCTAGGATTTCAGGCATAAGCCCCAGGCACCAGGTGCTAATTTTCATTATGAATAATACATAAGTCCTTCCTGCCATAGAAATGAGTAGCCAGAAAATCAAAAGATGAGCATTTTTCTTTTCTATCTCTTTTTCCCCCGCAGGTTCAGGGGCTTGAACTCAGGGCCTGAGTGCCGGCCCTGAGCTTGTTTTGCACAAGGCTAGCACTCTTTATCACTTGAGCCACAATTCCACTTCTGGCATTTTGGTGGTTAATTGAAGGTGAGAGTCTCATGGACTTTCCTGCCTTGGCTGGCTTGGAATCATGATCCTCATATCTTAGCCTACTGAGGATTGCAAGCATGAGCCACAGGCTCCCAGCTGTCTTAGGCATTTTTGCTTATCATCAACCATAAATTAGGTTAGTGTATCTTCAAACAGTAATTTCTGCCTCCATTGATAAGTTTAAGTCAGTGTGTGGCAGGCAGAAGGGTTCTAATTTCCCTTAGGAACTCATTCCGTTTTTTATTTCACTTGTAATGTGTACATTAGAATAAAAATCAGCTAAGTTGGTTGGATCATATCTCTGGTATTTAAGTTCCACGTGACTACAGAAGTGTTAATGCCAATTCCCTTCCTTGAGATAATTAGCCCTGGTCAGTGGTCCTCTGTTGTAATAGTGACACCTTGTAAGTGGTGACTGGATTCAAATTACTTCCATTTGGAGTAGAATTGAGGCATATTCATTATCATCAGCATCTGTAGATGGTTTCTTTTTATTTTTTGTTGTTGCTGTTTACTCTTGTATAGGTTTCGCATTGATTTTCCCTCCTCTGTGGCCTTCTGCATGTATCAATGCATTTCAGGTTGCTGGTATTGCAAGGTCTGCCTCCTGTCTTCTCTCCTGGAATTCTCATGTCTTTCACGTCAGAGGGGCCTGGTTAGCATGCTCAGGGATGCTTGTGGGGGCATGTGTATGTTCCCATGTCAATGAAAGATCACAGTGGAAAATCTGGAAAGGTCTTAGACTTGGTTAAGTATAGAATAGGGCTGGTATGGGAGACTTTGAGAGTAAGCACCCTGGAAATCTAGTTAAAAGCATTAGCAGGCAGTATAGGATGCAAAGAAAGCTGGTTGCATTGATTGTCCACACTGGGAAAAAGCAGTACCATTACAGCCTCTGTCTGTCTGCGTTCAATTTTTTTCCTTTAAATATAACACTGAATCAGAATCTCCTGGGCTGGGATAGAGTGCTTACCTAGCATACATGAAGTCCTGGGTTCAATTCCTCAGTACCACATAAACAGAAAAGGCCTCAAGTGGCCCTGTGGCTCAAGTGGTATAATGCTAGCCTTGAGCAAAAAATGCTCAGGAACAGTGCCCAGGTCCTGAGTTCAGCTCCAGGATTGGCATAAAAAGTCTGAGAATCTCCAGGGTAAGGTTAGGTATACATGTGTGCATTCACTGGAGATTCTTTTTTCTTCTTTCCTTGTTTAAATTTATTGTAGTTTTAGAGGTGATATACAGCAGGGTCACCTTTACGTGTGTGAGGTAATGAGTACACTTCCTTTCGTCATCTGTTCCCTCATTCTCTCCCATTCCCTCCCTTCCATCTCCACCCATGAGTTACATAGTTCACTTTTACCAAGGTTCAATGCAGCCAGTGAACTCCACTTTTTCATTCTTTTTCCTCTGATTCTCACGGGATTCTTGAATAGCCAGGTTAGAGCATCACAGATGATTGATACAGCAATATCATCCTGACCAGTGGCCACTGAAACAACTCATCCTCATTGGTGGATGAATGATGCTGAGAGCAGGGACACTACTCTGAGTGCCAGCCTAGTGTTCGCCATGAATAAGAAAGATGGCTAATACACTGTCATAGTGTGAATGGAGGTCAGTGTCTAGAACTTCTGATGTTTCATTATGTTGTTGAATCACAACCTCATTATACTTAGTGCTGTCTTTTCCTAGCAAGTATTTTGTATTCTTTGTGGTAATCTGGAAAAGAAATGCATAGATAGTACAGTGTCTGTCATAAGTTAACATCCCATGGCTATGAAATCCTAACCATTTGTCTGTAATGTACAGTGCTTTTGTGTGTGCCTTCTCTGTTTTCCCTTTGTGTACATTTGGGGGTCTTGAAAGGTGGCCTTCAGTTGGGAAGAAGAGTATTTATAGGTGGTCTGGGAACAGGGTGTTCATGAGTAGCTGGGGGAAATGTGGGCTTGGTTATTCACTACACATTATACATGAAAAGAAAGTGTGAACAGATAAGAATTAGATAGAAACAAACGAAGCCAGACACTGGTAGCTCAAGCCTATACTCTTAGCTACTTAGGAGGCTGAGATCTGAAAATGAAGGATCAGAGCCAGCCTAGGTAGACAAATCCAAGAGACACTTATCTCCAGTTAGCCAGCAAAATGAAGAAGTAGCAGTAGGTGTGGCTCAAGTAGAAGAATGCCAGCCTTAAGCAAAAAAGCTCAGCAACAATATGAAGGCCTGAATTCTAACTCAGTACTAACAGCAAAAAATATATATATATATATACTTAGGCAATAGAATAAATTATATTCTCTAGTTAATGGGGAGGCTGGGATTTAGGAGGATCACAGCTCAAGCCAGCTCAGGCAACAAGTTCTTAAGATCCCATCTATACCAGTAGCTGGGTATGATGCTACACACTTGCCATCCGATCTCTGTGGGAACATGAGGAAGATTGCAGTCAAGGCTGGTTTGGACATAAGCACAAGACCCTATCCAAAAACATAAAGCAAAAAAGGGCTGTGGATGGGGCTTAGAGCACTTGGGTAGCAAGTGCAAAGACCTGAGTTCAAAAACGCAGTTTCCCCCTCCCTCAAAACAGTTGGCTGTATGATCTCTGAAAAAAGTTAAAATGAAAGAGTGGCACACTGGTATCAGGAAACTTGAATTTGTATTTTGGAAGTCAGTGGCTGGTGACTTGTCTTACCCTGTGATTCGCATGTATCCTCTGCCGCTCATACATTCATCTTCTGCACCCTCGTGCAGGTCATGAAACGCGTGCGCACGGAGCAAGTCCAGGTGGCAGTGTCCTGCTACCTCAAGCGCCGGCAGTACGTGGACTCAGACGGCCCCCTGAAGCAAGGTCTGCGACTCTCACAGACCGCTGAGGAGATGGCTGCCAACCTCACAGGTAACAGGCCTCCTGTCCATGGCCGGGGCAGGAGCTGCTTGCCCTCCGGGGTCTGGTCCCCAGCTGTGTCCTTCAAAGCTGTGTTCACTGTCACTTCTAGTCCCTTGAGGCCCAAGCCAGAGTCACAGTTCCTTCCTTGGAGTGTCTAGATTATTCTGTGTGTGATGGCATATACAACTCTTATTCCACGGGACCCCTGACCTAGCCGAGGGACAGGGCCTCTCTCTGTTGGCATGGAGCCTCACCCATGGTTGAATGTGTACTTCGTGATTAGTTGATTGTAAATGCTGGTACTCCACACATGCTTCCTGAGATTTTTATTGGTTTATTTTTTGAAGAAAAGATCTCATTATGTTGCCCAGAATGACCTCAACCTCTGATCCTCCCCCTACCTTAGCCTTCCAAATGCTGGGATAACTCATGAGCCATTGCACCCAGCTCAGCAGTTTTTAACATTTCTCTTATGGTTGTGTGGAAATCAGAGTTCATAGCAAACCTAATTATGCCTCCATCTGAGTAGCAAGTAACTATTATGAGTTCATGTTTTATGTGATGTGATTTTCTTGTGCCATGCATTAGGTGATAATGAAATACGTTAATGGCTGGGTGGGGTTGGAATTAATGTTTCCTGGGACCCTGCCCTGGCTCCCCCTCTTACATGCTCATAGTGGGTCCTTCTTGTGCTTTCTGTGCTCTTCCACTACTGTTTCTTGCTGTTCCAACCCTCTGTTGTGGTGGCAGTGGTCAGCTCTAGCCCCTTCACTCTGCTTAGTGGTTCATTGCCTCCTTTTCCTCTTCCTCCTCCTCCTCTTCTTCCTCCTGAAATGGTAGAAGGAATGAGCTGAGTGCAAAAGAAACCATGCACAGTTTACTTTACCCAGTGTCAAGTGGAAGGAGGGTTGTTGAGGTTATGAAGCTTCACTGGTGACCACAGCTTGGATCAGGTCAGGTAAAAGGCACAGTCCAGTGAGAAGTGAGGTCAGGAGTGGGCAGGGGAAGGAGAGGAGAGGGTAATGTAAGAAGCTGTGGGATTCATGGCTGAGAAGGGCACAGAGGAAATCCATTCTCCCCCATTTGGCCTTCCAGCAGGTTACAAGCTCCTCTTTACCTGAGTCCTGCTGAAGTGCACTGATTTCTTTCTTGTATACACTTGTGGTGGCCCCTCAGCCCTACTGTGTTTTGTCATTCCTCTAACCATACTCCAATGTCTGGCTGTATTTGAGTTTTGTTTAGTCACTGAAAGTAGCTTTTCCCCACCATCTTTTTGCCCCCTACAAAAAGGATGAGAGAATTTGAATCTTCTTTGTATGAAGCATAAACTCACAGAACTGAAATTAAGTACACATTCTCATGCTGAGTGTTGACACTCTGGCCTTCACTCTCTGCT